CACATAATATAATATTTTGTATTTTCTATAGCCCAAAGTCATTTATACGATTTAATTTTCCTGTGACTTATAATGTGTTGGGTTGTCAAGTTTGTCGGAAAAGTTTGAAGAGGTATACACGAACCGCCCAACAACAGGTGGATACAAAGTCATCTACCCCGGTGGGCTTTCGACTCGAAAACATTGAACACCGATAAAAATATCCTGCAGAGTACCGCAAATAATGGATTTCAGAGGAGGAGTACTCGTATTTTTCGCTCACCCTTTCTAGATGGGTGGAGGCTATGTCACGGAATAAGAATGACCCAACAGCCATTTTTATTCGTGTTTTTTTTTTCTTCTCAGTTGGTTCCGGACTTTGGAAACGACGGCGTTGTCGTCCGTAACCGTCTGTCATTTGTCTTTACGTTTCGGGATTGAGATCTCTGGTAAAAACCACTGTCGGGTATTCCTCCGCCTATATTCTCTCCGTCCCGAAGCCCTCGTCCCATTTCTACCCGCCGCGTCCCGTCTTCTCGCTCGCCCGCCCCCGCGGCATCAGAGTCCTATATATATATATATATATACGCAACACACGACGTCAAACAGAAATAGTCGAGAATCGTTCATCCGCCTTCTCCGCTCATTTCCCCGTGGCCGCTATCACGTCGCGAGTACCCATTGTGCGCTGGGCGGGGTACATCGCCGTCGTCGTAATCGGCGTAGATATTTCACTATGTACATACACACACACACACACACATATGTACGGAGAAAGCTTTCGTCAGCTCTAAAGCTTTTTCCGATCGATCGGTGCAATGTATACACTTTGTGCGAACGTGTGTATGTGTGTATAAATGGTGATAAATTAACCTTGCCGCCATTGCAGGCCATCGGTCGCCGTTGGAAACTGTCCAGCGCTTTACGTCGGACCGTGGTGGGTTCCATATATACATATACATATACACACATTTATACATATATATATATATATATATATATATATATATATATATATTGAATGCGACTCTGGGATAAAAACGACACCAGGTTTGTCGTTGTATTATTCCGGTGTAGCAGTACGAGTAACTTAATATATATCTATATACACCACTGTTAGTGGAGGTGCGTACGCGCATGTGTGTGTGTGTATGTACACTGTTTTTATTTTAAACCGGTCGACCACCTTACTGATTTACGATATTGTCGATTGAAAAAAAAAATGCAGAATTAAATGGACTTTTATTTTTTACAAACGGTTGATACCGACAAGAAAAAACCCGTAAAAGTTGAATATATATACCTGTTTTTATATCGATCTGCACGCGAATATAATATTGTTGTATATTATTATAATATATGCGTGTCTATATTATTGCAGAGGGGCCGAATGTTTGTAGCGGCTCCCTCGAAGCCCCCGGGAATAATAACAATTATTGGTATAGTCGGTTTCATAATAAAGTGTTGTCAGTGTCCACACGGGACGGATTTAAACCTCTGCTAAAATAATCGCAGTTTTTCAGAGCCACAGATATGTATAGCTCATCGAAGTGTACCGCTTGCAATCAGCTTTCGTCGAAATATAAAATCAAAAATGCACCGAATATGTTTAAAGGATTTACAAGGTGTCATCGGGATTATCATACGTCGTACATACAACCATATAGTATATAAAATATAAAAACATATTTTATAAATAATGACTGACCAAATTGTGATGACTCCAGTCGCACGCGACGAGGAAATTTACTCTGGTGTTTCGATTATTTCCAATTTATAAAACAAATTTCAAACTATTATTGAAAATCAATCCTATACAGAATATGCTTAATGTTTCTATTGAAAAAAATATATAATCCTCGTTCTCAACTATATTTACGTGCTTATCACGAATCGTCATAATATTATTTGTAAAATATGACAAAATAATTGTAGAACAACGCCTATGGAATATTATACGATTTTTCAGAATGATTCCTCGCCGATCAACCGCCGGCCGTAAGGTGTTTGTTTTATTTATTTTTTTAGCGCATATGTATTCTCTGCACACGCCACTGCGTCCCATTAAAACGTTTAATGCGATTCGGTACACGTATGATGTTATGACACGAGAAGTTTAATCCGCAAAAACGTACCGTAATCGGATCAAGTATAGCTGTGCATAAAATATTCTTGGGATATTCATTTAAATGGTTATTTTATTATATTTATTCGGAATCTAGAAAAAGTCAAATCTGTGCCTGTTGAGAAATACATATCGGATAAAATATCTTTTATTGCCCCGAAGAAATCGTTGATATTACCTAATATATACATATACCTATTTGTCCTATATATGTATGTATTTTTAGTTATTTCTTTCGGTCTAAATGTACCTGTTCTTCATTTTTTCCCGCTACTGCAAGATAAATATGAGTATATATATATATGAAATAAAGACAAACATCATAATATTAAAGAAGATCTACGTCTTATGTAAACGCCCACGCTTACTTATATTATATTATATGTGTAGATTGTAGGTATGTCGATGCATATAGGTCATATTATATTTTGACGATTCGAAGAACAAATAAAATAACGTAGTTTCAATGATATATAACTAATATTAATACTAATAACATAGGTATTGACTATATTATTATATAGAGCTGTACTGTAAATAAATCTGAAAAGAAAATTGTTTACATCTGTGACATAGAAATTCAAATTCCGAATGAAATATTTTAAATATATACAATATGTATAGTTATCTTTTTACAATAGTATCTATACATAAACTGTTTAATGCAAGTCGGGATGCAAGTTATATCATATATTTCGAGTTACACAATTCCACTTGTAACATCTAAGCTAAAATAATATGAGATATAAAAGGATTTTAAAATTTGGAATAAGTTCTTGACATTTCTCAATTTCTCAAATTGTATATTCAAAGTAAAAAATATAATATGTGCTCATACTTACTCGTTATGTATGCTTACGTAGTTACGTAAAAATAATATTTTCTCTCTATGTATACATTATAGTAATATAATATGCAGTTAATATAAATAATGTAAATGTACATAATATTATACTATATAATATAATTAAATAATTATTTGGCTTATATTAGGTATATATTTTATCGTATTTTATAAAATTGCTATTTGAATTTACATTATAAAGATTAGAGTTGATGAATGAATAGCATATTCAAACAGCCAACAGGTGTCAACTATAAAACTTGATTTACATAAATTATTTGAGATGCTTCAACGATTTGCATCTAAATCTTTAAACAAATACTGAATACTATTATTAAATCGTAGTTGTTCTGTTTTTATACAGGTTTATTTTAATCCTTATCATAGTGCATCTACCTACACAAATAAAAATGACAGTTGTCTATATATTTCCGATACTGTGCAAAGTAGCGTGTTGTATTGGTTTTGTAATGACGTTTTTATTATTTCTTGACTTATTGTCTGCTTTCATTATCTAGTGCCTAAAATAAATTTAAACATTTTAAGAAAACCTGTCTTTAGTTTTGATATTTTATTTAGTTCGTCATTAAAAAAATCTTTTGATTTTTTTAATTAGTTTCTTAAAAGTGTAAGAAATCGTATAAAACTCCATGATTTAAAAATGTGGCACACAATATTAACCATTTACTATGGTTATCTGTAAACTTTGAAACCTGCTTAAAGTTAACAATGTATTATACTTAACATGATATTTTAAATACTTTATATTTCTTAAATAAAAATTGTTTTACTCGTATAGGTTATAATTATGATTTTGTTTAGATTTATTTTTAATTAATTTATTGCACTAAATTTTACAAACTTAATATTCGTTTTATTCATTACTGTACTTCGACTGCGTTTGTTTGACTTTTGAAACACTTTATAATATTGTGTCAAAGTGTGTTATTTGTGCAAATCTAATATTTTTTTTATGAATTATCGGTTGTGTACTTGTTGTCACTACTTACATTATCTAATAATAAAATGTTTCCATTATTTATTTTACTATTTATTACACCGAACGTGTTAACTATAAATGTAAAGTGAAAAGCAGCAAATTGTATGATTGTTTTGTTATAGCAAAAATATTGAAAGCTTCTATTGATATCTTAATATTTGTATCCTTGATTACCCCTGAATCGATCTACTGATTTATTAGTATTAAAAAAAAAAAAACCGATATGGTTCTGTGGAATATAAATGTGTTAATTTAATTTCAAAATGATGTACTGACAATTATTTATCACTCTACGGATAACAGTTTTTTTTTTCATTGCACAATTTTAATTTTATAAACTTTCTGTCGTCATTATAAACAAACATAATGGCCCACATAGTATACTCGTATCCTTGGCCGTTTTGTATGGAGATCCTTATACGTTGTGGATCGTATCCGAAATTAAATTCAAATAGTTTTCTAAATTGTTGCGATCCCCTTTTATACGACTGCGCGTGTTGGTGTCCCATGTGTTAAAAGCGTATTATGGGTTTTCATTAAAAGGTCTTGGTCTCGTGTAAACGGCGGACGGTCCTCGTACGGAGTAAATTTCGGTGACATCGACAGGTGTATACGAGGCAACGGATGGCCGGGGAGTGGATGTTTTATGGGCCCCAGGCGAGTCATTCCATGGCGACACCCTTGGAAAAACGTCTATCCCCCAGAAACCGGCGGGCCACGTCTTACGAGGGATCCGCCAACCGTTCATTAATTCTTAATTAAGTACCGCAAAACGGACGTGGAAAAAAGTAGTTTTAGCCATAAAAGGGAGAACGGGGAGAACCAAATTTGTTCTCCGCACAGTTACCAGCTATACAGCCGCTGACGGTCTGGCAATAATGGCGTCGGGAATTCAATTTAGCCTAATATTGTTTTACTTATCAAGAGTTATTACTCTTTTTTTTTGGTCAGCGGAATTTTTAATCACTTTTGTGCGAGACAAGAGCGGAATAAGTTAAACGTGTATACATATATATAAGTATATTGATTTCTATGTTTTTTTTTCTTTGCAGGGAAGAAGACTGCAGAAGGTGCCTGGTGATCACGGAAAAACACCAGAACGTGATACAGTACAAAGAGAGTGAGTTTTAGCATAAAATATTTTTGTCTTTAAAATTAATTTGTCCCAAAATCGATTTCCTCTCTAACTGAATTTAAGTTGTTCAACAATAGTAGGGTAGACAGTGCAAAAAACTCATTTAACCGACAAACAATTAGTTTTCAGTTTAACTTTTTAATTAACATTTTCGTCCTTCCCGCAGGACGCGATCCTCCCCCCCCCCAACAACATCACGTATATACATAGATACAGTTACTCATTTTTTTTAAGTACGCATAATTATGTATCCCAAATCTATAATGTTTAGATTGATTTTTTTGTTTTTAAAACCTAAATCGATTTACTTTCAGAAAAGTTTTTACAAACCTTTTATTTTAATACCTATATTGGAGAATATAAGTAAAATCAATGTTTTATCTATTTAATTTACCAAATCGTCATATACGATTTTGTGTAACTATGAAATAATTGTATGAATGATTTAGTTTTGTATATTCTATATGTAAATATACCCTTTGAAATCTATACACAACCAACAATATAAAATACAATTAAATGCTTTTCCTTTATTATCTTATAAAAAAAAAAAGTTGTAATAATAGTGTTAGTGTACAATATTATATATATTAAAAACTCAATTTAATAACTAGGTATAACGTGTTTTATCATATAATATAATATATATATTTTTTTTAGTAGCATATTTTAATTTTATAAGTTAATTTTACAACTATATAAATAATTTAATTTAACTTTAAACAAACACTTATAACTTTAAAATTAATTGTCAAAATCTGAATGAAAATTAATAAAACTGGATTTGTCAGTTTATATTTATCAAAAATAGTTTTTTTTAACAAAAAGAACTCGATATACTTTTTAATTCTATAGAGTTAATATAAAATCTCCATTTAACCAACTCAGTTCAATGCATAAGCTAAAATAATTTAAACTTTGTGAGAAATTGTTTGTAATTAATCAGCAATGAACAAAATATATAATTACTAATGTATACAATTATTGTAATTTTATTATAAATATTTTGCTTCAGTTGAATTCCGCGTAACTATATTATATAGCTGATATAATATTGCCGTTCGATTCATATGATAAAATTAATATAAATAGGAAATATAGGTAGGTACATAACATTATTGAGCTGATTTTAATAATATTTAGAAACGTGCATATAAATTAATATATAATTTCCTGTTCAATAAAAGTCTAATAGGATAATTTTATTGGATTTAACTTAAATCGATATTTATATATTTATTGATGAGAACTGTTTTTATAATTTAGTTCAGTTCACAGTTTTACAATATATTTTAACCAATATATATTTTTCTATAGTTGATATTCACTAATTTATTTAATAAAAAAAATAGATTTTTTCCTATAACTATCTATGTATAAGTATTGTTCACAAAAGAAGTAACCAAAAGTACATAAAGTTTAATGTAGGTTCGGAAGGAAAAAAATATTTATTTTTTTATCTGAAAACGTGATCGGTTTTTCCTAACATTCTTATGGACATCTGAAAATTCGCGTGAAACCAGAAAATCTCTTAAAACCCTAAATTCCACGAAGTACCTCGTAAAAAAATCGACGTATTTTGTAAACCCTGGACAACGTATGATATTACTCGTGTGGAACGAAAGATATTGACTAAAATTCGTATATATAAACACATTATTTTGTTTCTGGTTCATGCATATTGCATATCTCGTCCTGGCTTGTTTTTTACCACTTTATTTTTCTACTCGAACCATTATTCTAAATTATTGTTTTATGGTTGGGAGCTTAATAGCCTGGCAGCAGTAATACGTTTATAGTGAAATAGTTTTATTTAACGGCGGGGTTGGGGGGTGGAAATAAAGTTACCTCAAACCCAATACCTATCATCCGTGTCACATTCTTGAATTAAATTGACGTGTTTAAAAATCTGATGGAAAAATCCTATGGTGACTTAATACACGCACAAACGCGTTCATATAAGCATACAGTTGGGTGCACCTTTCAGCAGCATAGAAATTGCAGAGTTTGGCTGTTAAATCGGCTTAGGGCCCCCCAGGGCCTTACTTACACGTCTCTCCGCCTCATCTCGCTGCCAAGTCTTTCCCCGTCTTTAATAGCTTCTGCACAACAATCCTCGGGACTCCATTAACTAATAGCCTATCCCACTGGACCACCGTCACAGTTGCCCGTGGCAACATGACAACGACAACGAGCTAATTGTATATATATGTTCCAGTGTAGCAAAAAATAAAACTTATCGATGGAAAAGTTATTTCCCATTTCTCTGCCATCCTCCATGCACTGTATGAAAATGTATTCAAAAAACGTAAAAGAACGTAAAAAACAAAATCTTCCGTATACACATCCATTCAATACCAGGAATCTGTCATGATAAGAAATGACACTGTTAAATAGGGTTTTCCACTTGAATACGTTACAGTCAATAGCCGAGTATAATGCAAAACTCGCGCATGTGTATAAGTATTTTTCTTTTTTTTCGTTCGATTCCCGTGATTTCCAACAATACAACTATCTCGAATTCATAATATATTCGAACATAAAAAATATGCTTTGCCGAATGTATGCCTATAACATTTACTAAACATAAACTATATTTTAGTTTTTAATTAAAATTTAATATAGTAGTGATGAACTGATGAGTATTGAAACGTAATATATTATATGCTTATGCTATTGAGTTATGTATCTATTATATTCATATTATACTGATATTAATAATCTAAAGAATAAAACAAAATATGTTACTTTAATTAAGTTAATATATTTATTAATATACCTAACTACCTAGTTGTTTCAATTTGTCAATACTCTTAACATTGTTCCTACCGTATTCTTATAATGAATAGCACAATTACACATCCTGTCTTGTATATTATATACATTATATAACCATAAACAAAGTTCCTTTCTGATAAAACTTTTAACATCTGCAAATCTAAAAGTTAGCAACCTTAAAGTTTGGAAATTTACCATGTACTACATAGGTTTCTCTAAAGTTAATCACTATACCTGACTGAACTTCAGGTAAAAACTACTCTCAGTGTACCTACTCATACATAGTTCTACGTTTAGAAATGAAACTTCAAAAACATTTAGATTTAATGAAACTAAAATGTTTTGATGGAGACTGACTTCAACAAACAAATTCTTCATAGTAAAATATATTGTTTTGAACTCTGCTTCGCATCGTGTGCGATGGTAAAACGATGGGCGTGTAACCAACAAGACAAGACTTCCGTCAAACCTGTGATCCGCAATAATGTGTTGTATTTTAAATATTAAACTATATATAATTTTGAAATTGTATTTAATATTACATCACTTCCAAATTATATCTATAATTTTTGATTCTAAAAATAAAACATCAAAGTACCACTCGATAGCATAATATACTTTTTATACTCGTATATAAGCTCCGAATACCTAATAAAACCTCCAGTGTAGATGTCATTTAGTAGTTATAACTAATAATGCACTTAACACGTATTGTCTTAAAAATTATACCGTCAGTGGACAAAAACGAGTATTATTCATATCTGTAAAGTTTCCACTGTAACGGTATAGTAATATTATAATACAATTGTATATAAATCGATGTCCGTTTTAAGCCCATCACTTCTAATTCATTTGTGTATTTTATGTATTTTTAATTTAAATTCATTCCATATGAATAATATTGTTATGAATGTACTAGCATAAGTAAATAACAAAAATAGCTATTATTATAATAATATAACTATTGTTTGAAATTACATAAGTGAATAATAGTCGATATTATTTCACTCGGTTGTCCGGTACCGGATTACGCGGAGTGTGACTTATTATTTGCTTCTATACAATAATATAATATGACGTATCAAGTACTGAAATATTATAATATACCATATTCCATAAATTATACTTAATCAATCATCATTTTGAATTTTACTACGGCTAAAATAGTGTATTTGTGAAATTGATAGATCTGGTGGTGACAATATTATGGTGGTTACAACAAATTGTGTTTGTTTTATTCCTGCATTTTAATTACACGCTACCTACCAACTTCAAATGAAGTAATACTGGTATACACGAATATTATACTTGTTTTACTGTATTATTTGAAACGCGCATACGCATGCGCACACTGTTCATGCCATAGGATATTTTCAACTGAAATATATTATAATAAATACGGTAAAAACAAAAATGATTTTCGATTAAAACTTGTGTGTGGACCTCCCTATTAATATTTGTTTAATGTTGTTATGAATCATGACGTGATTGTTTTTAAATTGACGTGAACGATAATAGCACAATATGTTTAGTTTTGATACGCCGTCGATGGCCACGGTGTATATCATACATTATTATCAGAAGGCAAGGTCTGACAGACCGTGAAAAACAATAACGAACAACCCTCGCCCTCACCCATCCCCATCCACCCACAACTCCGCGAAATCGTGACTGCGTTTGCTTTTAGGCATTTTTCGAATCAATTTTTAGCATTGTCCGCACTTGACACGTGTGAATATTCATGAACTCTTACCGCCCTTTATATTTTATTATTATGACCAACGGCCTAAGTGATTTCGAAAACTATCTATTCACCTCTGCCCGATGTATGATTATAATACACACGAATATACCCTACATACGTGATAATATTCGTCCTGACGCTCATTGGTCTCTCGTTTTGCATAATGAACTCGCCGCGGCCATTTGTATTAATTTAAACACGGTCACTCTTCGGACTATATTGAAGTATATTTTCATTAAAGTTATATTATTTTAATATGTATTTAATTTGAATAAAATCAAGCATGTTGCTCTAAATAATAAAAAAAAAATATGGAATCCAAATATATTAATATCATAAAGTTTTATGTAGGTAAATAGTATAGTAATATATAGGTAGGTAGGTAGGTATTATTATAGTAATTTTGTTTCTGATGAAGGTTAGTATACCTACCTATACCGGTTTTTTGCATCTATATTAATAA